AAATGTCACCTTTCTGGGCTATGTGGTGGTGCTTCACCATCAGGCATGCTTTGCTAAAGTGAACAGGACAGGGTTTTTAAGCCCTCCCCCTTGTGCCATTCCCCTACTCTATGCACAAACATAAAGCTGCTGCTATTACTGAGGACAATTTGGAGCCTAATCTGTTGACTGGAAATGTGGTTGATGCAGGAAAAGCACATCACAAAGTGAGAGATGCTCCAGAAATTGATACTTGGCAGAGAGCTGCTTGGCACCACTTGAAGGTCAGTTGTCTCCCTTACCCAATGGGTGGGCTGGCTCTGAGCAATTAAGCTTTTCGTTTTGTTTCACATGATGTGTATTTGAAAGAAGTGTTCAAGGATGGTCCAGGAGATTTAGGTGCCGGCGATGGGAAGTTCTAATGGTGAAACCTTGGTGCTAAAAACACAACACCACAAATAATCGATTTGTTGTCCTTCATAGTAGGGCTGCCCTTGAAATTGTGGTTTCTCTTGCTGATTGTGATAGGCAGCCATACTGTGTATAGTTAAGCAAAGAAAACTAAACAGACTGAAGTTTTCATATCATTCTATCACTGGTATAGTTCTAGTGAAGCTCCTGGTGCGATGTTGGAAGAATTGGTTTAAAAGATGGATGACTGAGGTTCCCTACAAGCGGTTCCCCCCACTTTTGTTATTTTCTCCTAATCTAAATGAAAACATTTGTATATGGGGAAAACAGTCCTCTCACAAACTGCTGATTGTTTTGTCTCAGTGGCTCATACAATTTGATTTAGTTCAGAGGTTTTCCAGCAATTGCTCTTGTTACCATAAACATCCATCTCTAGGGCTTCAGATCTCTTGGCCAAAAGGACTTCTGCATTTTCCTTCCCATCCTTAGCATTTCAAAACATTGTTCTGGCTGATTTTTCATAGGCTTCTGCCAAGAAAGACTTGGAGGAGATAGGAGAGGCCATGATGAAAACTATAACTGGCTCTGAGGGAGTTGATCTTGGCATTTTGTCACTGGTGGGATTACAAACAGCAGAATATTTAAAAAGTGCAATTGTGTTGTTATTCCCCTGTTGCAGGGTTGCCAGATCACAACCAGAACATCCTCTCTCTCTCTCTCTATAGACAGAAATGTACTGTGCACCAGCCATTGCAATTTATAGATATAGATCAAGCATAAAAAATGCAACAGAACCAATGAAATGGCCAAATCAACAACTGTAAGAATTAAGATGCAGAGAGCACCATACTAGCACCATACATTTCAATGGCAGTTACCCAAAATTTTGCAGGCCTCGCTGTCACCAGATTGCCTTGGCCTGCAAGAAAACCACTTAAAAGTCCCTTAAAAAAACCAAACAGATGAAAGCCTTAGGTGAAGTAATAATAATGGAGTAATTAGATCTTTACACAAAGCTTTCCAAAATAACAAAAGAGGAAGATGTGAGCCAGCATTTGGAGATGGTCATCTGCACACAAACATACATAGTTTTGAAAGGAATTCTCTTAAAATGTCCCTTAAGAACTGCTGACCAGTGCTTTGCCAAATGTGCTTTCCGGTTTTCTTCCTTTGTGAAAGAGGGTTCTATTTTTCTGAGACAAGAAGACCAAGGCCTTGGTTGGGCAATACCTGCATGCCTCGGGTCCACTCCGGCACCACAATGCCTAATCTCATCTCTTTATCAATCTTTGTTCCCAGGGGTTTGAAGTTGGAGGAATCTCCCAAAATGGCCTATCTGATGCAGAGTTTTTAGCACTGCTTCTCTCATCCTTGCAGGCAGAGACTACCATGCTGACAGCTCTTGTCATGGCTGAAGACAGACCGTGGTCTCATTAGCCTTCCACCCTGGTCAAGGCCCGAGAAGAGTGCAATGGAATTTGCCTCCAGTTGAGTTCCCCTGCTGGAAGAATAAATCTAGGCAAAGCTTATGGAATGTTAAAACTGCTGTATAATCAATGAGTTAACACACAGGCGTCATTTAAGGGCTGCTCATGGTAGTTAAAGTGGCAAATTGCTAGGATTGCTGAAGAGTTAGTCAAATCTGGTATCTCCTCTCCCCACCCCCACCCCCCATCTCTCTTTCCCTCTTCCCCCATAGTTGGGCTGCTGGATCCCGAATGTGACCCAAGTAGAAGGCAGGAACAAAGCCTCTAGTGTATCATCTTGGTCATGTGACATCCCCCTGCCCTTCTCTATTAAAAGACTGATCTCTTCTCTGTGCCTCCTGCTCTGACAGAATCGCAGGACATGATGGCAGTTAAATTGCTCAGGGATGAGTGACACAAAGCTAGGAAGAAGCCTTCCCTATCACAAGTGCTGACATATAACTGCCAGGCCCTGCCTGTCATCCCCCACCCATTTCTTAGCTTTTTCAGACTTCAGGGAACTGAGGAGTCTGTCTGTTTCCGTACAGTCCTGACCCCAGTGGCGGGGATGGTCTTCCATATTTCCGAACTTCCTGATACTCCTGCAGATTTAAAGGATCTTGCTTTTGGCTCCACTGTGATTGCTAATTATGAATTAATTTAGAAGATTTATACAGTACTTAATTACAATTGTCTCTTAACAGACCCTCTAAGGGTCCCTGTTTTCCAGGGACAGTCCTCGATTTATAGGAGCCATTCCGGTTTCTGATTTGATCCCACAATGTCCCACTTTCCCTTAGGATGTCCCTCTTTTCATTGGAGAAATGTTGGATAGTACGGAGTTATGCGACCCCTGAGCCAAGGAGATAAGATAGCTATACAAACTTTCGAAGACATCTCAAGACAATCCTGTATAGGGAAGTTTTTTTAAATGTTTAATGTTATGCTATGATTTTATATATGTTGGAAGCGCCCAGAGTAGCAATCCAGTCAGATGGGTGGGGCATTTGTTGTTGTTGTTGTGAATAAAAGGTAAAGGTACCCCTGACCCTTAGGTCCAGTCGTGGACGACTCTGGGGTTGCGGCACACATCTCACTTTACTGGCCGAGGGAGCCGGCGTACAGCTTCCGGGTCATGTGGCCAGCATGACTAAGCCGCTTCTGGCAAACCAGAGCAGTGCACGGAAACGCCATTTACCTTCCCGCCAGAGTGGTACCTATTTATCTACTTGCACTTTGATCTGCTTTCGAACTGCTAGATGGGCAGGAGCTGGGACTCACCTTGTCGCTGGGATTCAAACTGCCGACCTTCCAATTGGCAAGCCCAATAGTTTAGACCACAGCGCCACCCGCGTCCCACATTATTATGAATAGAACATCCCTATTTCATTGGGAAAATGTTGCCGGGTATGTCTTAAGCGGCATACAAGGAACACAATTCAATGCAAATAAAAATTAGTTAAAACGGTAACATCAGGATGCAGTTTAAATGCCTGCAGGAATTTTTAAAAAGTATTCAGTAAGCACTTTATGTTCTACAGGGAGGTAGCCTGTCTGACCTCAACTGGAAGACAGTTCTGGGCCCACAATACAGAACTCACTGCTCCTGGGTGATTCGAATGGTGCATCCAAGCCATGGGGAACCAACACTGGCTGAGAGATATCGCATTGTGGCAAGCTCTGAACTGGGATAATATGAGGCCAGTGTGGTGTAGTGGTCAGAATGTCAGACTAGGCATTAGGAGAGACTTGGGTTTGAAATCAGGAGTGACTGGTCCAGTGGGACAGAACAAGAGGCTCCTGATAGCGGTGTCATTTCTACTTAACTGGGATGTGGAGAGGTGAAATGATGGAAAGGTTGGGGCTGCATGGGCACACCAGTGGAGCCAATCCAGTGCTTCCTGTACCCCATTTTTGCAGCCCACAACATGCTGAGTTCCTAAAAGGAAATATTTTTTTACACAGTAAAGCTGTAGGATCTGGGCGTAAAAGGCCAAATTTAATGATACTTGCATGAATATCTACTCGTGGAGCTGAGGCCTACTGGGAAAGTCACATAAGAGAGAGGAACTATGAGCCAAGCGAGACAATCATATTTATGAAGCGTGGGTAGAGGTCCTGGAGAATTTTGACATTTGCAAATTCCACTATGCAATGACTTGGATCTGCACTTCTTGGACTAATGTGCAGATTGGAATTTAGCTACCCACCAGATTTAATGCTTCCTCAGACATTGCAACACAGTTCTTGGCAGTTTAAGTGTAAAAGGCACCTTTAAATACATGCTTTGGAGAGAAAATGCACATTTATATCCTTTAAAAAGGGAACAAATTTATGGAAACACAAAACAGAATTATGCATAAAAATATGCCAACGTGCCACAGACTAGAAGTAGACATTCAGCCACGTCTAGGTGTGGGTCACTCCCTCCTCACTACAAAGAAATAATAATAATTCCATGGCAACCTGGCTTTTCACTCTTCCTTTTTAGAAGGTGTCGCTGCAATTCAGTTTGAGTTATAAATCCGAGGGACTCTGGGGACAAAACAGAAAGAAGGTGAGGTGAGAATCAAAGCATATAGTTTCCAAAGTGACCACTCTGGGGCCTGGAATGAAAGAACAAAGCTGCAAAAAGAGTCCTAGGAAGCCCTTACTCTCTCAGTAGGGTACTCTGCTTGAACAGCCACTGAGCCTACTTATTGGGCCTCTTGTCATTACTTAACCAGGGACTGGAACAATGGCTCACTTCTTACCAGGCCCGCTTTGCTTTCCACTCCTGCCATCACTTTTAGGATTATCTGCTGTTCTTCGTTCTTTGTCCTTCCTACTCCCCATCCCCCACCCCGCCTCAGCCAAGAGTGATTTCCAAATCCATCAGCGACTGTATCTCCTTTTTTGTCCTCCAGTTACTATTAAGCAAAGCTGGCAGGGCTAAACTTGGCCATCTGAGGGTATTTATTTGATGCTTAATCCCCATTCGCACCTCATTTACGAAATGGAAATCAGTGTAACATCAGAACATTGCAAAATGACTTGGTTACCTAATGGCCACCTCTAGTCCTCCTGGATGGTAGATGAAGAGCTAGAAGACCAAAGCCTGTTTCTGTGCACACCACAGCCCTTTTCAGATGTTATGAGTAAGTGGGAAGGGCTGGTAGCTTGGTAGGAGAACATCTGCCTTGCATGCAGAAGGTCCCTGGTTCAATCCCCAGCATTTCCAGGTGGGGCTGGGAATGTCCACTGTCTAAAACCCTGGAGAGCCACTGCCAGATAATGAGGAGACAACACTGAGCTAGATGCACCAGTTTTCTTATTCAGTGCAAGGTAGCCTTTGATGTGTCATTGAATTCTACTCAATATTGATCCAGAGTAGATTCCATTGTATAGTTAGCAGAGTAAAAACTTTAACACGTTGCAGGATTCCCCAAAAATAGACCAGAGGCAATTGTATTTCATCCAGCAGAGCTTGACTGCTATTGAAGGCAAATGAGCATAATGGTCACAAATCCAATACATTCAGGATTGGCCCTGTCCATAAGAAATCCAGTTTGCAGCAGACTTAACTTAAACTTACCATAACTTATAGTAAGTCTAAACCTTAACACTACATACAAAACACCACACCAGAAAGAAAGAGAAAAACCCAGGCTCCTTCTGGCCTTACTTATTTCTTTCTGTCAAGGTCATGCTGACTATAAGAGAACCAGTTTAGACCAGCTGTACTCCGCTTCTCTGATGGTATAACCCAAACATCATGAACCTTCTGTTTGTTTCTTTCACACAGAGAAGCTTTGAGAACCCTCTCGAATTAATTAGAACAGGAAAGATCTCTACACATCAGATCAATACTTTCTGCACCAAGAAATGCAAACTGACAGTATGTTCCTAATATGGAAGGGGGGGAGTTAATGGGGAGAAGCATACTAGTTGCACCTTCCAATGCCATCCCTGTTGCCCTCCATGAAGTAGAAGACTGCTGTCTGTAATGGGGATTCTCCTCTACTTGTGTAAACTAACTGTGTGCTGTAGAAACCAGGAAATAAAGGAGACTCCCCATTGCAGACAATCACCCTTCACAAGTTGATGGATTGAGGACAGAGGTAGCACACTCATCACCGCTCTCTCTGCTCTGTGTTCTACTTACTGGTGAGTATGACATCTGAATAAGGGCTCATGGAAAAGCACAATGCACCCAGGAGTAGCAAGAGAAGCTGTAGATCCACCTAATTTGGAGACAGAGAGGGCCAAACCACCTTTGCATAAAGAGAATGGGGAATGTTTCTCCCAAATAACTCCTGTGGAGGTACCTAATATTGTCAGAGGCGGATTAAGGGCCGTGCAACTGGTTCCCCTGCGCTGGGTGTTGAGGCGAGGGGGGTGCAAAAACTACAACGTAGTGCACATGCAGAACAGAAGGGGTTGGCTTCACACAGGGCACCGCTGAAATTTGAAAGGCCAAGGCCCTTCCCTGATATTGTTCACTATCTGAAGATAGTGTAAGGAGCATGAAGCATATATTGCACTTACCGGATGGGAAGTCACGAAATGTGGTTTCTGCATGGCAAGCAATTACTTCTTATCCCTTAAATAGGAAGCATTAACCATGCAACGAGCCATCCTCATTTAAATTTCCATGCACTCACTGGTGGTCCCTGGGAATCAGGAACAGGAATTGAGGCACACTATCAGCTTTTGGTGAATGCTGAAGATGTCCCTCTTTACCCCAGCTTTTTGATGCCAGAGACGTGTGTTTTCAAGACTCACCCTATTCCTGTGGTGGGAATTAAACCACTTTTAATTCTGAATTTTAAATTGGTGCAAGCCACCCTGGGACTTGCTGGTGAATAGCAGGCAATAAATATAATAATCATAATAAGAGAAAGCCATATGGTGAGGCCTTTCAAGCATTACGGGTCAGGCAGAAAGAGACCCCTTGCCGTCTTAGTTACCTCATGAAATTACGCACAATAATAGCAAAGCCTAGGTGACCACTTCCAGTCATTCCAGATCACAGATATGGAGCTAGAAGTGGCATTGCCATGTGACTCCGATGCCTTTGGCTGAGTCTGGTCCAAAAACCCCTTAATGGCCAATTTTCCAGTCTTGGAAGACTGGAGAAATACCAACTGAAGAACAACGGCAAGAGAAGTTGATGAACTATGCAGAACTGGCAAAAATGACAGAAAGACTAAGAGACAAAGACAACAGAGACTTTGAAAAAGATTTGGAACCATTCATACTATATTTGCAGAAACAAAGAAAGGCAATAGACTTGATGGCAGGATTTAAATAAACATCCACATTATTAGCATCAGAAAATGTTTGGAAGATAGTGAAATAAGATGATGTATTTAATTTTATTTTTATGTTTTTAAGGTTTAATGTTATGTTATTAATAACTTTTTCTGTTGAGAGATAGCAAAGTGGGTGAAAATATAAACAAACCAGAAATGCAAGTTGGGGGAAGTCTTGGAGGGGAGGGAGGGAGGAATGAATATATACGGTACTAAATGTTAAGAATTTGAGATGTATGCAATGAACAAAAATGAAAAATGAATAAAAAAATTAAAAAACCAAAAAAACCCTTAACGGCAATGCAGTAGAGCACAAAACTTATGCTAGGGTTGCTATATTTCAAAAAGTAAAAACCAGGACACCCTGAGCTTTTATTTGGACAAACCCCGAAGTTGTTGGAAAAACCCCATGGTTTTTCCAATTGACTTGCCTAAGATCCAGGATGAAGCACTGCCTTTCAGAAATGCCCTCCCACGTCAATTCTGCCTTTGAAATCCAGGTAATGTCCATATGGAAACCCTACTTATGGGAGCTGTTCAATAAGTTGAGAAAGGATTTCCCCGCTCTCACTTTGAGGCTTGATAGGCGCCCGTCCTTTGAAAGGCAATCAGTGGCAAATTACAATGCACCATCGCTCAGGTAACTGTCTATAGCAACCCAAATGGGTGGCCTGGGCCTCTAATTTCCCCATCGCATTTCAGAGTTGTCAGTTACATGGCAGTCCACCTGCAGGCTTCAGCACTGCCCTTGGAATGCAACCCCTGTGCCCTCTCCCTTCCTCTTGTAAAGGATCAGGCTTCATTCCGCACCGCATAGCCCGTGGCAGGAATCTTAAGAGGTGAAAGGGGTGGCAGGGGGACTGATTTAAAACCAAGGAAAGCAAGAAGCCTCTTCTCTGCAGCTGAGTGAGCCCACCAGGAATGAGGCCTATTAACAGCTGTGGACAGACACCTGGTCAGTCCATCCCCTCATACCTTCAAATAATTCCTCTCCCATTGCAAAGCCCAACAAAACATCCTCTGTCCTTTTCACTGTACAAATGGAGTTGTTGTTTTTTTAAACCATATTATTACAGGGGGCTCAGACCCAGCAAGATCTTCTGGGTTCTTTAATTTGCGGGACTCATACAGCACAAGCCTACATATGTTTCTTCAGCAGGTTGCAAGTCCTACTGTGTTCAGCAGGGCTTAAAGGTAAAGGTAAAAGGACCCCTGACCATTAGGTCCAGTCATGGCCGACTCTGGGGTTGTGGCACTCATCTCGCTTTATTGGCCGAGGGAGCCGGCGTACAGCTTCCGGGTCATGTGGCCAGCATGACTAAGCCGCTTCTGGTGAACCAGAGCAGCGCATGGAAATGCCATTTACCTTCCCGCCAGAGTGGTACCTATTTATCTACTTGCACTTTGATGTGCTTTCGAACTGCTAGGTTGGCAGGAGCAGGGACCGAGCAACGGGAGCTCACCCCGTCGCGGGGATTCGAACTGCCAACCTTCTGATTGGCACGTCCTAGGCTCTGTGGTTTAACCCACAGCACCACCCACGTCCCTTCAGCAGGGCTTACCCCAAGGTAACTGTGTGTACAGAACTGCAGCCTTAAATGCTTAAGTCATACCATCCAACATTTCTCTGAAGAAAATAAGGATGTCAATACTAATACTTTAATTATTTATACTCCACCCATCTGACTGGGTTGCCCCAGCCACTCTGGGTGGCTTCCAACATATATTAAAACATAATAAAGCATCTAACTTTTTTTTAAAAAACCTTCCTTGTACAGGGGCTGCCATCAGATGTATTCTAAAAGTTAAATGGTTGTTTATCTGTTTGACATCTGATGGAAATGCGTTTCACAGGGAGGGCACCACTATATATTTTTGAAAAGCCCTCTGCCTGGTGATGTAACACACAGAGATTTGGTTTGGGGCCCCAAAGGGGTCCTCTACAGCCAGAGAAGATGGGTGACATCCAACCAAGGAGAGAAAGAAGCAAGCAGCTTTTTAAAAGCAAAGATCCTTTATTCAGTTGCAACCAGGTTCCCTTCACAAAGGTGACAAAAGGGATGAGGAACCCTGCCCAAAGGTAAACCCAGAAATTTATACAGTCACAACTGTGGGTGGTCTTATTCATCAGAGATTCGGCAGTTTACAAGGTAAGGGGGAGGTACATGGGTGCAGGGTTAGGGTTAGGGTTAGGGTTAGGGCAAGATACAAGGTGGGGGTGCGCAGGGGCCATGCTAATCTTCTCTGTATCGTTCCAATTTTAGTATATGTGTTGCCGAAGCGAGCATATGTTTGTTTGTTTTTTAGTTCATGTAGCGTTTGTGTATTGTATTTGCATTGTTTTTTCTCTTTTTTTTCTTTTTTCTCTTTTTTTGTTTGTATTGGAAATGTTAAAAAAGTAATAAATATCATTTTTTTAAAAAAGATACAAGGTGGGGGTGCGAATTCCTATCTACATGAGTAAGGTAATACGGTGGTACCTTGGTTTACGAACTTAATCCATTCTCGAGGTCCATTCTTAAACAAAAGCGTTCTTAAACCAAGGTGTGTTTTCCCATAGCAGCAGGGACTCAATTTACAAATAGAACACACTCAACAGGAAGCAAAAGATGTTCTTATTCCAAGGCAAAGTTCACAAACCAAAACACCTACTTCCGGGTTTGCAGCATTCTTAATTCAGTTTGTTCATAAACTACGCTCTTCTTAAACCAAGGTACCACTGTACCTAGAAATCTAGCGTGAGATGGCAGTTGATATAATAATCCAGTTTTTCTAGAATAACAATAGGGATGAGAGTTTTATCTAACAGCTGAATTCCTCTCCCCCGCAGGGTCAAGGGAAATGGATCTGGTCGTCTGGCACTTTACAGAAGAAGGAAGGGGAGCTGAGTGGAAGTGATTGGGTTGAGGCTAAAAATAACATTTATGCTTTCATGGTTACAATGAAGTGATGCAATTTGAACATATGGGTTCCAATTCTTATTTTCCTGAAAGCAGTTGCAATCATTGAGAATTTGAACAAACACTGATAAGGCACAAGGATACAAAAGGGTCGATTCCATTGCAAAGACTCCAAATGTAACAATTGCATAAGGGTCACCTTAGGGATTCACATTTACAAGTAGTAAAGACACAATTACAAGAGAAATAGCTAGATACAATTTAAAATTACCTGGAGACAATTACAAGATAATACTTAGACACAATTATAAAAATAGAGATAGGGTAAATTCAGGAAATAGGGTAATGGGCAATGCAGGGAAGAAAGAAAAATGCTTTGTTTGACAGAAAGGAAAGAAGGAATTTGAAGGAGAAGAATAATGGGAGCAACGAATTAAAAGCAGAGCAGTCTAACAGGCAAAATTGAGGAAAAGGTTCATATTTCTTTTAGGACATCTTCATTTGGTTTATTTGGTCTTGGTTTTCAGCTTCTTTAGCTATTTTCTACATCACTGGTTCCCTGTAACCTCAATTATCACACTGAGGGAACCGCCAGAAGCCTCTCAGAGCTAGATCTCAGTGTCTCCTGGGGTGAACTGGCTCCTTCAGGGACACAGGGCCGAAGCAGTTTATGGCTTTGAAGGTCAGCACCAACACTTTGAATTGTGCTCAGAAATGTACTGGGAGCCAATGTAGTTCTTTTAGAACTGGTGTTATATGGTCCTGGCAGCCACTCCTGGCCACCAGTCTAGCTGTCACATTCTGGATTAGTTGTAGTTTCTGAGTCACCTTCAAATGTAGCCCCACATAGAGCGCATTGCAGTGGTCCAAGCAGGAGATAACCAATGCACGTACCACTCTGTTTAGACACTCTGCAAGCAGGTAGGGTCTCAGCCTGCATACCACAAGGAGCTGGTAGACAGCCGCCCTAGACCCAGAACGTACCTGCACCTCCATGGACAGCTTTGAGTCCAAAATGACCCACAGGCTGAGCACCTGGTCCTTCAGGGGCACAGTTACCCCATTCAGGCCCAGGGAGTCCCCCACACCTGCAAAAGAAAATGTAGGACAGACTGGGCCTTCTTTCTCTGGCTAACATAGAAGAACAACAACCAGAAGTAACAATTTCTATAGCTACTAATACTACCAAATTTGCAGGTGCATTTACCGCAAGGTGATTTGCAGTTTGCAACAAGGACTTAGAATATTAGAGTAGTGTTATGAAATGAGAAAAGAAATCAGGGAATCCAACTGCATTGCATGAGAGTGGGTGTTAACACAGTGACTCTCTGCAGCTGCCTGGTGCTTGTCTAAGTTCCAGGTTCCAATAATTTTTTATAGAGGAACTGGCAATGGCACAAGCAGGGAACAGCAGTAGTGGGACCCTGGCATTTTCATCAGTATAACATGTGCTAATACCTGGCCTGATTGGCACGCACAGTTTTTCTTTCCAGAACCAGTTAAATTACAAGAGGTAGAGAGGGAATTATAGAATCATAGAATTGTAGAGTTGGATGGGGTCACAAGAGTCATATTGTCCAACCCCCTGCAATGCAGGACTCCTTTGCTCAATGTACTGTATATCTGAAGAAGCGTCTCCACCCCCATCGTTCAGCCCAGACACTGAGGTCCAGTGCCGAGGGCCTTCTGGCGGTTCCCTCGCTGCGAGAAGCCAAGTTACAGGGAACCAGGCAGAGGGCCTTCTCGGTAGTGGCACCCACCCTGCGGAACGCCCTCCCACCAGATGTCAAAGAGAACAACAACTACCAGACTTTTAGAAGACATCTGAAGGCAGCCCTGTTCAGGGAAGCTTTTAATGTTTGCTGCATTACTGTATTTTAATATTTTGTTGGAAGCTGCCCAGAGTGGCTGGGGAGGCCTGGCCAGATGGGTGGTGTCAGGGAACTGACATCGGAGCTAGAGGTGGAGAGGAGGCTCTCTAATGATGCTGGAGAAGGGCCCAGCAGGGAGAGAGGTAGCTTAGCAGATGGGGAAGCAATTCAGTGCAACACCAGGAATAAGGAGGGGCAGATGGGGGAAGCGGAGAGAGGGCTCCCAGACTCTTCACCGGACACCAGCGGGGAGAGCACTGGTCCTCCGCTACCCATGCCCTCCCTGCGCAGAAGACTTCCGCGCAGAGAAAGTAGGAGGAGACTGGGTGTCAAACAACTTTTATGTTGGAAAAGGTTTAAGAAACACCCACTGACGGATTCTGCCAGCGACTGAGGCAGCCACGAATTGAAGGGCTGTCCAGACAGAAAGGTTTAACAAGGCAACATAGCCAGGAGAGGCGGCAACTTACGCACGAGCAACCCCATACCATTATAGGTGGGGTACAAATAATAAATTATGATGATGATGATGATGATGATGATGTGGGGCTCGAACCCACACCCTGAGATTAAGAATCTCATGCTCTTACAAACTAAACCACTCTACCAGCAAGGGACCTTGTTCATTGTAACATGGACCAAATACACCTTCCTTTCAAAAGCAGTGTCTTCTTTGCATGAGTATAGTAGTTTTCCTTTCAGATAATTTGACCTCTGTGCTGCGCACACACCATACATTTGAAGCCCATTTAAGGTGTGTTTTCCCCACCTCAAGTCTCCTAAAAACTGTACCTTTGTGAGGGGTAAACTACAGTTCCCAAGATTCTGTTTTTTCCCTTTTTTGAGGGGGGGGGTATCCTTTGAATGTACAGTGTGTACACAGCCACATAGTCATTTTTAACAGAACTAGGAGAAAACCTTCTGGAAAATTCCATAACCGTAGACAAGAAAAAGACCAGATTCCAAGAGCTGTTCTGACTTGGCGTCTGTTCAGCAGGGGCCCTGGTGCTTACACTGGGATAGAGGAAATTCAGCCAGGCCAATTTCTAGCCAGAGGGAAGGCTACCTCACTCCCCCTTCTTAAATACACGAGTCTTATGTTTTGGGTCTCTTCTCCCCCCACCCAGCCACCTTTTGCCTCATTAGTCCTGGTCATGGGGTATGTTATGCACATGACATAATTGCCAGATGGAGCAGACTTTTCTGCGAAAGGAAACATGGGACAGACTGGGCCTTTTCTCTCTGGCTAACTTAGAGGGCTGCATTTAAAAACAAAACTGTGTAGATATGTGGATTTGGGCACTCAGCTGCTGCTCAGAAGGGACAGTTCCTTGTTTCAGCCTTTGGGATGGATACACACACACACACACACACACACACACACACACACACACACATATATATATATATATATATATATATATATGTATATATATGTCTGGTGTTTCCTTTCTTTTTCCTCCCTCCAGAAACCACATTTATGGGTTACAGACATTAAAAAAGCAAAATCTGTAGGCTGTGCATGAACCAAGTAACTTGTTTTGGGCTAAAGGTATTAAACGGGTTTAACAGATCCAGAAACCACAGCGTGTTTTCCATTCCCACCCCCACATTGTGTCTGAAGGATGCGTCCAAGATCTGCATGGGGCACCAACTTGCCACCCACATGGAGGGGTGCATCATGTGACACATCATGTGACATGTCCTGCCCCTGCCTAGCACATCAGTCCTTACGTGCCTGGCCAGGACACACAGGGTGTCCTGCCACTGCAATGCTGGTGTTATGCACCGGGTGGGGAATGGGGAGCGCAGAGCTTGACCTCCTTCTCCCCACAGAGCATTGGGTAAGGAGAAGGAGGCAGAGCAGGGCCACAGGATTTGGGGGGGCAGCCCCCTCCTTGAATATTTTTTTGGGGAGGCTGAAGGTCCCTCAGCCCCCACTACCTGCCAGGCCAGGTTCTGTACATACAGATTTGGCACTTTCTTTTTATCTGGACAGTAGAAGAAGAAAAAGAACAGGCAGCCATGTTAGTCCATATAGGAAACCCCTTCAAAACCTGAAGTCAGGCAATATCTTCATTAGGACAAAATGTGCACAAGCTTTAGCATCCTTCAGAACACTTCATCAGGAGGCAGGTGGCAGAGGGATAACTGGCGAAAATAGAAAAAAAATAGTCTGGATGTTGACATCTTGAGGTCTGGTGAGAGGTTCTGTGCCTTTAACTGGTACGCAGAAGGCCAAAAGTCAGCTCATGCAATTTTCCTCATCATGAAGATGAAACTTTGGAAAAAGCTGCCCCTGTTGAATTCCTGCCTCCTGTGCAGTTGGTAAAGTGCAGAGCCCCATGATGTGCAGACCAAGCCACCCCTTGAGAAATGCCACTGGCCCTACTGGAAGGAAGTCTTTTTGCTTTCCTTGAGGTTTCTTCCAGAGGTTTCTCCTAAGCAGACGGTGCTGGGTTGACATTCCTGTCTTTCACTGCCTGCCCACACTGCCAGCTTTTGCAGCTTCATCTTCAGGCAGCAAAAGTTGGGTGGGGATTTTCAGTGGTTTGGGGTGGGGTTACTGAAGTTATTTCTTCTTCCCTTGGAATTCCTTAGACATCAGTCCAGTTTAACCCCAGATCTCCCTTTTGGAAAAATTCAATGGTAGCCCTAGGTTCTCTCAGGAATAAATGACGATGCAGAACCCACTCATGTTGTTTAATACCTTCAGACACACTGATCAGATGTTTGGAAGCTGTGGCTGGATGGTTACGTGGGAGCCAGTTAAAGTTAAATCCTTCAAAGACAGAGGTCCTTTGGCTGGGTCAGGATGATATGGGATTGGGGGGGCAACTCCCATCTCTTGCGGGGGTGCAATTAGTGCCAGCACCATCCGTTAAGAGTTTGGGTATAATCTTCAACATCTCCCTTTCTATGGAGGCGCAGATTGCAGCTATAACAAAGGCGGCATTTTTTCATCTCCGCCAAGCTAAGCAGTTGGCTCCTTGCCTCTCTCGCCCTGACCTAGCCACTGTGATCCATGCAACGGTCACCTCCAGACTGGATTATTGTAACTCGCTCTATGTGGGGCTGCCCTTGAGATTGACCCAGAAACTCCAGCGGGGTCCTCACTGCGAGATCACATTCACCCGGTGCTATACCAGCTGCACTGGCTCCCAGTGGAGTATAGGATCAGCTTTAAGGTGCTGGTTTTAACCTTCAAAGCCCTATACGGCCTAGGACCCTTGTACCTACGGGACCACCTCTCCTGGTATGTCCCACAGAGGAACTTATGGTCTTCAAACAAAAACATATTGAAGGTCCCAGGCCACAGAGAGGTTAGGCTGGCGTCAACCAGAGCCAGGGCTTTTTCGGCTATAGCTCCGATCTGGTGGAACGCTCTGTCACAAGAGACTAGGGCTCTGCAGGACTTGACATCTTTCCGCAGGGCCTGCAAGACAGAGCTGTTCCACCAGGCCTTTGGCCAGGGCACAGCCTGACTCCCTCTTTTGGCAATCCTCACAGAACTTCTATTTTTTTAAAAAAATATATATTTATTGAATTTTAAAGGGTTACAAAAAGAAAAAAATTAAAAAACAGCATATTTAAGAAATACAAAACATCACATCACAATAATAATAAAAAAGAAACAAGAAAAAAAATACAATAAATCTTCCCATATCTTATCTTTCATTTGCTTATTTCCTTGACCTCCTCACACCTCCCTTTTTTGTATTCTAGTTCAATTAGCTATTTCAGCAAATCCTTTCCATCTTTTCCAGTTTTTGTCCTCTATTTTATCTTAATATAATGTAACTTTGCTTTCCCTCCTTCACCATTTAACAATCTATTTTTCCTTAATCCTTTATAGCATTTCTGCTAAAACCGCATTATTTCATTCCAACATCCTTCTAACATTCCTTAATTTTACAATGTTTCTGTAAATAAACTTTAAATTTCTTCCAATCTTCTTCCACCAACTCTTCTCCCTGGTCTCGGATTCTGCCAGTCATTTCCGCCAGTTCCATGTAGTCCATCACCTTCATCTGCCATTCTTCCCGGGTGGGTAGATCTTGTGTCTACCAATACTTCACGATGAGTATTCTTGCTGCTGTAGTGGCATACATTAAAAAAGTTCTATTCTTTTTTGGCACCAATTGGCCGACCATGCCCAGGAGAAAGGCCTCTGGTTTCTTCAGAAAGGTATATTTAAATACATTTTTCATTTCATTGTAAATCATCTCCCAGAATGTCTTAATCCTTGGGCATGTCCACCAAAGGTGAAAAATGTGCCTTCAGTCTCTTTACATTTCCAACATTTATTATCGGGCAAATGATATATTTTTGCAAGCTTGACTGGTGTCATGTACCACCTGTAGATCATTTTCATTATATTCTCTCTTAGGGCATTACATGCCATAAACTTCATACCTGACATCAATACCAGGGAAGATTCTGGAGCAGATCATTAAGCAAACAGTTTGTGAGCACCTAGAAAGGAATGCTGTGATCACCAATAGTCAGCATGGATTTCTGAAAAATAAGTCATGTCAGACTAACCTGATCTCGTTTTTTGACAGAATTACAAGCCTGGTAGATGAAGGGAACACAGTGGATGTAGCCTACCTTGATTTCAGCAAGGCATTTGACAAGGTGCCCCATGTTTTTCTTGTAAAGAAGCTGGTAAAATGCGGTCTTGACTATGCTACCACTCAGTGGATTTGTAACTGGCTGACTGACCGAACCCAAAGGGTGCTCATCAATGGTTCCCCTTCATCCTGGAGAAGAGTGACTAGTGGGGTGCCACAGGGTTCTGTCTTGGGCCCGATATTATTCAACATCTTTATCAACGACTTGGATGATGGACTGAAGGGCATCCTGATCAAATTTGCAGATGACACCAAACTGGGAGGGGTGGCTAACACCCCAGAGGACAGGATCACACTTCAAAACGACCTTGACAGATTAGAGAACTGGGCCAAAACAAACAAGATGAATTTTAACAGGGAGAAATGTAAAGTATTTCACTTGGGCAAAAAATGAGAGGCACAAATACAAGATGGGGGACACCTGGCTTGAGAGCAGTACATGTGAAAAGGATCTAGGAGTCTTGGTTGACCACAAACTTGACATGAGCCAACAGTGTGACACGGCAGCTAAAAAGCCAATGCAATTCTGGGCCTGCATCAATAGGAGTATAGCATCTAGATCAAGGGAAGTAATAGTGCCACTGTATTCTGCTCTGGTCAGACCTCACCTGGAGTACTGTGTCCAGTTCTGGGCACCACAGTTCAAGAAGGACACTGACAAACTGGAACGTGTCCAGAGGAGGGCAACCAAAATGGTCAAAGGCCTGGAAACGATGCCTTATGAGGAACGGCTAAGGGAGCTGGGCATGTTTAGCCTGGAGAAGAGGAGGTTAAGGGGTGATATGATAGCCATGTTCAAATATATAAAAGGATGTCACATAGAGGAGGGAGAAAGGTTGTTTTCTGCTGCTCCAGAGAAGCGGACACGGAGCAATGGATCCAAACTACAAGAAAGAAGATTCCACCTAAACATTAGGAAGAACTTCCTGACAGTAAGAGCTGTTCGACAGTGGAATTTGCTGCCAAGGAGTGTGGTGGAGTCTCCTTCTTTGGAGGTCTTTAAGCAGAGGCTTGACAATCATATGTCAGGAGTGCTCTGATGGTGTTTCCTGCTTGGCAGGGGGTTGGACTCGATGGCCCTTGTGGTCTCTTCCAACTCTATGATTCTATGATTCTATGATTCTATGATTCTGTGGTCCATAACTGTTCCCAGTCAGCCATCATAATATTATGTCCTACATCTTGTGCCCATTTAATCATAGTTGATTTCACCGTTTCATCCTGAGTATTCCATTTCAACAGCAAGTTATACATTCTTGACAAATTCTTAGTTTTGGGATCTAACAGTTCTGTTTCCAATTTTGATTTTTCCACCTGGAAGCCAATTTTTTAATCCAAATTGTACGCCTCCATTATTTGGTAATATGGTTTTTAAATGCTTTATGCGCTTTAATCTTATCATACCACAAATATGCATGCCACCCAAATACGTTGTTAAAACCTTCTAGGTCCAACACGTCAGTATTTTCAAGATGCAGCCATTCTCTCAGCCAGCAAAACGCGGCCGATTCATAATAAAGTTTAAGGTCTGGCAGGGCAAATCCACCTCTTTCTTTAGCATCGGTTAATATCCTAAATTTTATTCGAGGCTTCTTGCCCTGCCAGACAAATCTAGAAATATCTCTCTGCCACTTCTTGAAACAATCAATTTTATCCAAAATTTGCAATGTTTGGAACAGAAACAGCATCCTTGACAATACATTCATTTTTATCGCAGCAATTCGGCCTAGCAATGATAACTTCAGATTTGACCATATTTCTAAATCCTTTTTCACTTCCAACCAGCATTTTTCATAGTTATCCTTAAATAA